TGGGATGAAACTTTCCAATAGCTAGAATTGCCAGTATCTACACTGATAGAGTTTGCTAGGACTCGCTTACCCTTACCCTGCAGAGGAGAGAACTCCTGCTCTATGAAGCTGGAGTGGCAGGTACCTGGATAGTTTGTTTCTCTTACTATGCTATTGCCCCAGGTTTCTGAATTTATAAGGTTGATTTCCAGTGTTTCCCCACGTCACTTATCCTAGTTTGAGGTTCTACACCTGTTTCTTTGTAGTGGAACAGGTGAGTGAAGGTGCCTCTGTTTAGGCATCTTGCTCCTTCCTATATTGGGTGTTGAAGGATGAGTGGAGAAATGGGTTTTCAGGTATGAAGAGGAAAGGAGAAGAGGAAACGCTGTTGCATTGTTGGTGGGAGGGAGGGGAAAAGGGCCATTTGGGGTAGGAGGGTAAGAATGGTTTTTATGCCATGCTGAGATTTTGTACTTTACTCTCTAGGTTATAGATAACAACTCTGTGTGTGTGTGTGTGTGTGTGTGTGTGTGTGTGTGTAAAACAGCTTTATTGAGCTATAATCTACAAACCACCATTCACCAATTTTAACTGTACCATTAAATGACTTTTAGTAAATGTATAGAGTTTTGTAACTGTCAACACTACCCAATTTTAGAACTTTTCCATTACTCTGACAAATTCTTTGTGCCCAATAGCAATCAATCCTTTCTATCCTCAGCCTCTGGGAACCACAGGTCTATATTTTGTCTTTATAGATTTGCTCTGCCTGAACATTTCATGTAAATGAAATAATGGACCATGTAACCTTTTGTATGTGGATTGTTAGCATTTGTTTAGGATGGTCCTTGTTTCAGCATGTGTTAGTCTTTCATTACTTTTTGTTGCTACTTAGTAGCTCACTTATGGATAGATCCCATTCTGTTTTAACCATTCATTACTTGATGGTTATTTAGATGATGCCCACATTGTGGCTTTGTTCTTCTGAACACTAACATACAGGTCTTTGTGTGAACTTCATGTTTTTATTTCTTTTGAGTAGATATGTTGGAGCCATGTAGTACAGTAAATCTTCTGTTTAACTTTTAAGGAATTGCCTGCTTTCCAAAATGATTGTACCATTTCCCCCCTATGGATTTTTAAGCAGAAGAAAATTTCAGTTTTGCATTTCAGCTAAGCTAGCAAACAAACCCAGAAGTTGAGTAAGAAGCCAATTTAATTTCAAAAAACTTATAATAGGCTTTACTTGTTTTGAGTTTGTAAAATGTTTCCTTAGATCAAACTTTCAAAAAGAATTCTGAAAATTTCAAGCTCTGGCTAAGCAAAATTATCAGAGTTGTTTCTGGGTGTATGTATATATTTTTATAGACTAAATCAAGACAGAGAAATGAGATGGGTGCTGTGACTCGTACCTGCACTTCTAGCTACTCAGGAGACAGAGACTGAGAGGATGGTGGTTTGAGGCCATCCTGAGAAAAATGTTCACAAGCCCCCACCTCAATTATTAAAATCTGTGTGTGGTGGGTATGTGCCTATACTGGCTACATGGAAAGCATAAATAGGAGTGTCATGGTCCAGGCTGGACCGGGCATAAAAGTGAGACCCTATTTGAAAGATAGCTAAAGCAAAAAGGGCTGTAGGCATGACTTAAGTGGCATACTGCATAGCAAGTGTGAGGTTCTGAGTTCAAACCCTAGTACTGCCAGAAAAAAACAAAAGAGAGAAATGTGCAAGATAGCTCCACCCCCTCCTTTTTTTTTTAAATCAAAACTAAGTCATTTTTTACCCCTCAGCTAATAAACTTTCTTTGGTTGATTTAGAATGAACTTGGCCTGGGAGAGTTTATAGCTCGGTAACTACTTACTTAGCAAAATGCTTCATGAATCATCCATAAGTTACTTTCAAATTGAGAACCCAGAAATAGTACTCTAGTGAAAGAAGTTTCAATCTAGTAATTGATTCAGAAACTTGGGGAAATAATGTTGCTAATAGCAGATTGTTCAAATCTGGCTTTTCAGTAATAATGTTACTTTAAGTGGGGCGGGAATCATCATTAATCCTGAAACCCAGCAAAATACTCTAGCTCAGGATACGCTAGGTTAGAACCAAATGGCCAAAGTGTTCAAATTTTCCTTTTTAGAATATACATTCTCTAAAAGATCTTATTGTGTTCTGGATTACATGGTCCCTGAGCTGAACAAAAGAGACCCAGAAATAAGTGTTGGTCTTTTATAAGGCTTGCCTCAGTTTCCAAGATAGGTTGATGACAGCAGAGATAATTCCAAGTAGTATTTAAGTTATTTATATTTGTCTTCAGAATGTAGTGTGTTTTATTAATGGGGAGGGGATGAATGGTAGAATTGGGGAGAGTGGGGCCTTTTAGAAGATCTGGGTGAGGCTAATATTAAAATTAATTTTGTCCTCTAAGCACAGAATAATTAGTAGATAAAGCAACTTCTCCCTCACAAAAAGGAGGTCATCCTGGAATTAAAAATACTGTTTGAGAAGTCTGTAAAGTGGAGAAATGACAAATGGGTTTTGAGAGATGACTGTTATTATACTGGAGTCAATATTTTTCTCTCCCAAGGAGGAAAAAAAAAAAACAACACAGAATCAAAGTAAGTGCAGAAAGACTACTTTAACTCTATCCAACATCAGAAGTAAATGACATCAGAATGTAGCAGGACTTTTCACAGCTCACACATGGTGATGCAGTGAAAAGATAGCATTCGTGTTAGTCTTTTAGCATAGGGCTTTTGCTACTGGTGGGAGTCTAAATTTGGGGGATAGACAGAAATGGCCGTAGAGGCCATCAGTGTCATTCTCCTGGAGTTCAGGAGGGTCCTGTTGAAAAAAACCCCCTCCTTTAAAAATTTTAATTAGCACATACTAATTGTGCATTTATAGGGTAAATGTGATGTTTAGCTATAGGTATAAAGTGTGTGTAACGATAAAATCAAGGTAACTAGCATTTCCATTACTTCAAACATAGATCATCTCTTTGTGTTAGAAATATTCGAAATCCCCTCTTCTAGCTAGTTTGAAATGTAGTTGTTAACTATAGTCACTCTATCATGAGATAGAGAAATAGGATTTAATCTTCCTATCTAACTGTATCTTGGTACCCATTATCCATCTTCTCTATTCCCGCCACCTCTATCCACACCCAGTGTAGATACCCAGTCCCTGGTAATCACTATTCTGCTCTCTACTTGTATGAGATCAACTCTTTTATATCCTACATGAGTAAGAACATGCAGCACTTTTTCTGTGGTGGTTTATTTCACTCAATGTCCTCTAGACTCATCCATGTTGTCACATATGACAGAAAAGAATTTCCATCCAAAGTTTTTCAAATCCCTTAGCCATGGAAACATTTTTTCTTTCTTTCTCTGGTGACTTGTATGACACTGATAGCTTTTTTGGGGGAGGGTTACTGAGGATTGAACTCAGGGCCTTGCTCTTGCTGGGAAGGTACACTACCACTTGAGCTGTGCCTCAATCCCCTACTAGCCTCTTTTGGAGTATGATTTTGAACCAGACTGGGCTCCATCTTCAGTTTCTTGTTTGGAAATGGAAGGTGCCAAGGTGCTGAGCTGCATTATAGCATGGCAATTTCCTTCCCTGGCACTATGAGCTCAGCCTGGTTCTCACAAACCTGTTATGAGAAGCAGAGGCCTTGGCACCTGTCCATTTGATCCAAATGCACAGGAGATGTCCAAATGGGGGCTAGTCTGTCTCATTTTTCCTCATAAAAAGAAAGTTTAGTAGTAACAGTAGAAGCTAAGACTTTCTGTGGTCAGGTCTTACTGGCTAGTCTATGGTTATTACTTTTGCTTTCTTTCCTAGGTTTAATAAAGACTAGAATTTATTCTCCTTTTTCATTTTTCTTGTGAGATCATTATAAAGATAATTCTAAGATGCCCTTGTTCTAATACCATCTAAATGCCCTCCTGAACACTGAGCAAGCCTTTCCAACATGCGGAAGTGAGTGTCATCATTATTTTTAGTGAAAAAAGTTTAGGGATGGATTTGAGCAAAGGCCTAGAGGTGACAGATTTCATATTTTGATTTTTTCCACTAACTTTCAATTTCCTTAGACACTAGGAAGTAGTGAATAGTGATAATTGTATAACTCTTGATGGTGTACAAAGATTTCACATGCATAATCTTACTCTTTTGGTTCTCTAAGATATTTGGAAACAGAATCAGGACTAGGACTATTTCCTACATGCAGTAAGTTTTGGGATCAATTTAAATATTTATTGAATGCCTCCTGATCATAAAAGCATCGTGTGTTGCCTAGTTACTTTAAAAGTAATTCACAGTAAGGGTTTTTGCACCATAAAAACAGTGTGATACTTAGTGATGTTACATTTGTTGTTCATACCTAAATAACCTACTCAAGACGCTGGTGGGGACAGAGCAAGGACAGTGAAGGGCAGGCCAGATTTTAAGTCTTTGGTGTCATTTTGCTATTCCATTTCAGTGATTTCTAAGAGAAAGATGACAAAGGACAGTGTGCATTCAGGATTTGTTTCTTATACTCAGGGACGGTATCACTGATCACTCATGGCACCCTCTACCTTTGACATAGGAAGTAGTTTCAGCATCCTCAATTCTGCATTTCCAACAGCAATGAGCATCCATTGGACATTATCTCGCAAATTAATACTTCCTTACTTGCTTTCTGTGACCAAAAGAGTATCCTTGTCCTATCCATTTTTTCCCTGTAAGAGGGAAGTGAAATTTTTAAAGTTACTTTATGACAGGCTAGTGATTCTCAAACTTACAATATGCACACTGATCACTTGGATCTTATGAAAATGCAGGTTCTGATTTACTAGGTTTGGGGTGCATTCTGCATTTCTGACAACATTGCAGGAGATGCCAGTGCTACTGGCCTGTGGACCAAACTTTGATGATCAAGATTCAGTACTGGGCCATCCAGTAGAGACATGATGTAATCTAGAACAATGCCACTCAATAAATAAGGAAAAAGAAGAAAGACAAGGCAAGTGTTCCATTAGAAGCTGAAGTTTTATTATAGGATAATAGTACATAAAGCACATCTAAAATTGATGTGTTCAATGCACTTTTAATAAAGGTAATGTAATATTAAAGGTACAGTTTCTAAGTACAATATAACAACATTCATATTAGAATGAAAATTGGAGTATTTAAAAGACAACATTAAATCTCTTTTTTTACAGCGTATATTTACAAAATGAATCAAAATATTTTTTTAAATTCAGGACTCAATGAAATAAACAGCTGGAAATAAGCAGACTACTGAAAAAAGTGAATTGAAAAAAAAACCCAATGTCAGTGAAAAGTTGGATGATTCTCTAATAAAGATCATTAGCAAAGTTTTAGTTCAATACTTTGTTTTAGGATTCCCATAAATGGCTTGCATTTTTAGTGTGGCAGAAAAGGAGTTTTTACATACTGTACACAAAACAGACAGCATATAGTTATAGGTACAGTATTACTATTTCCAAACTCGCATGTATATTTACAGAAGGCTGAGTTTGTTACTCACAGAGTTTTGTGAAATTTGTGTGCTTAATCCTCAAGACCTACACACAATTAGAATCAGCATTTCATGTGACCTTTTAAATGTAGCTTTTACACTTGGTTGTAGAAGAAAGAAAAATGTTAACCATAGGACTTTGCATATTTTATAAATTTGCCAAAAGAACCCAGGAAAAAAGTTTCAATTGGGGCACATGGAACATGTGATCAAATGCTATCATGGAACAATGATCAAATGCTGATATGTGCAGGCCTTTGTACAGGTGCAAAGAGATACCAGCTCTACCCTAGGGAAGCTTGGGATGCTAAATGGTGCTTTAAAAAAATGTTTCAATCTCTCTCCAAGCAAGACAGTTGAGGAATGACATGATTTGTATTAAAACAGGATTTCTCCTAAACCATAGCCAATTCTTTAAAAGGTTAACTATTAGCCTTAGCTCTCATTAACCAACACAATTGCATTTATAATTAAGGTTAACAGCAACTCTTCCATAAAATGGAAAATGTCTAGAATGGTGGGGGAAATATGCAGTGCATGGAGCCAGTAATCATGGCTTGGAAATTTATCACCATCAGTTACAAAAAGTGCAGTAAACAGAAACATTTGCTCTATATTTATAAATTGCTCAAAAATCTTTGCTAAAGATCTTACAAATTCAGTATTATTACAGAACAATTCTAATCAATATTTAATAAGGCTAACTACATCCTTAGTTAGATATTTGATATACTCTGATTTTTAACAATGCCAATTGATCTTGGGGGAATAGGTAAAAGAATGTAATTAAGCTCACTATTATATATATGACTTAAAATGAAGGTCCTCCACACAGTTCATGGAACTGGTTGAGGTCATAGTAAAATCAAAAATGTCTTGTTGAATTTGCTGTATGACCCATGCTTTACTTCTTATTTGTCTGTCATCAAACCTCCATTATAAATGCTTAATAGGAGTTAAATGTATAAATTCTGTCAGGTGCCCCTCAGTAAGAAAAAAATATATTACTGAGAGTGTTTCTTTAAAACAGAATGTTTCTTTGGGATCTTGAAGGCCTGGCAAATTATTTTTCTGCTTAAGAGATAATGGTGTAAAGCCAAGTAGCTAACATAAAGCACATATTAATATTTCATATGTCCACATTTATAAACAAATTCACCCAATAGATATCAAATATCCATACTAAGGAAGTAATTTTATCCTAATTAAATACACTCTAGAATAATTTATATAATGATATTATATATTTAAAGAGAAAAGCATGTCCCAAATCCAGCACTCTGATACAGCTGCCAGTTGGGCATAGGTAGAGATATATATATATATGTATATATATACAAATATATAGTTGTACTCAGTGAAATTAACAAGACCCAAAGGTGGTATTGTCTAGGAATAAAAGGGATAATTTTTTTGTTCACAAAAGTAACTTATCTAGCACCACACATCAGAAAAACACAAAAATAGCACACTCTAGTTCTAAACAGCTATGTCTAAAATAGATTATATAGTAAAACCAGTATTATACAGCGTATTGTGGATTTGATAAACAGATAAATATTTGCACTGAGTAGGCTGTTTATAATATAACATTTTCTTATCTATACAGAATGAAAGCCAAAAAGTTAACTGTATAGAGATGTGCGGAACAACATTAAATATTATGACTCAAAAGCAGGGACGAAGGTAAATTTGAAAGAAGAGTAAGAGAGAAAATGTTTACAGGCCATTACAAGTTCTTAAGTTAATAGTAAATAAGGAATCAATTGCTCAAGTTGAAGAAAGCAGTAAACAAGAGATTGCATTTACATGCAGATGTCTAAAATTTGTATTTTTTAAGTCTATGCACAAAAGTCATTTGTTTTATTGCTTGACATTCAGTTATGGCTAGATTATTTAACCTATTTTTTTGTACTTTGGAAATAAGAATATTCTTAAAGGTGCCATAAAAATGGACAGCATTGAAAACGGTTTGCAAATAAACCACCTAACACTGCAGTTCTTTATACATATTAAAAGCCTTGTCTGGGGTTTGTCATATGTTAAATATATTTAAACTGGGAAAATAGGTTGTAGCTTGAAGCCTCCCATTGGCCCAAACATCCAATACAAAAACACATCTCCACAAAAGGAGCAGGCAGACAATACAAGTACATAGAAAGAAGCAGCCAGCTAATGTCCTAATGTTTAAACATTTGCCACTGTTTTAGATGAGATTTCAAACTATTGTGGATAAGAAGAAAATCTGTGATTCAGGAAGATGTGTACAGTACATACAGATTTTTTTGTGAAATCATATTCACTATATTGCTCAAGAATTATCTGCAGTTACATATGCAATCTGTTCAATGATAGGAAGTTCCTAGATAGAGTATTCATCCACATCACAACAATGATGAATGAGAATGGAGAGTTTCTATTCTTAAAGAAGAAATAATGGCATGTCAAAACTTACAGCAAGATGTCTGTCATTAGCTCCAAGAAGGATCAAAGAAAAAAGTGTCACACTGCTAACATCACAAAACACACCAAATATAAACAACAAACACAGATTCTCTAGGCATCTATTAAAACTTTCATATTTACTTTCTCCATACAAGACTCCATGTTATGTTGCATCACTGAAAAAAAAGCTTGTTTCTATTTGGGCTGGATATTCCGCCATTCATTTATAAGTAAATAAATGACTGAAAGTATTTATTGCTCTAAGTTCTGAGGGTGTAGTTGAATATGGAGATCCCGCCCCCAATCTACCATGGCTCCTTGGTATGAGGCCAGGTGTTTGGGTTATTTTTTAATTATTCTGAGAGTCTGACAAAATTGATCTCACTCACACACACAAATAAGCAAACAGACCCAGAAGTGAACATCATAGCTGTTGGAAACATTGCTGCTTAGCCTTCTCATCTCTTAAAAATAAACAGAAATAAGAAGGCCTCTATAGTAAAATCTAGTGGAACTTTTTTTAATACTAGTGTTTAGGTTCAAAATGAAGATCTGTATTGTAGACTATTAGCAATATATCAAGAATTACTGTTGCAATTGCATTTCTGGGCAATTTGTGGTATAAATTTGCTTTCATGGGGTTCTGTATCATAACTCTATAAGATGTTATTTGTTATAGTATGTAAAAATGTCAATCATAGGGCGTGCGTGTGTGTGTGTGTGTGTGTGTGTGTGTGTGTGTGTGTAGGCAAGTGGGAAGATGTAAGGAGGGAGTTTTCACATTCCGTATTTGTTATCAAAAACAATAGAGTGAAGTTGTCCTTGTCATATGATAGACATAGAAAGTTTTCCCAAATTATGCTCCTCTCTGATAAACAAAAACACATAAATCTGCTGAATGTGTATTACAGTGGTAGAAGAATGAAAACCAACAATTACATTGAGCTTCTCTGACCCTAAGGAAAGCAAAACCTGGAAGGATATGAACAAAACCATATTTCAAAATTGTAATATGAAACCCTAAAAGCAGGGTTAAGTTGCTGTCAAAAAGGTGGGGTTTGATTTGTCCTTAAACATTAGCTCTTGTATTAATTCATCACCTATAAACTAGAAATGTGCAACAATTTGTTTTGCATAAAGAAAGTTTTGGTTTACCTCTAGTGGAGAACAGTAAAAACAATGGTTATTTGCTGGCATCAAAAAAACCTTTTTCATGTCTACCCATCTCACTGTTCTGATATATCTTTTCACTGGTTTTTAACCACAATAGAGTTTGAATAAGAGTGAAATGTGTAATGCTGTATGTATGCTTATCATGAATATCTTAATTATTAGGAAAATGGTAAGTGGAATACTAAGGATTGTAAATGATGTTGGTCTATCACTTATAAGTTTATTTTCTGTACACACTTGCATTACTTTGCACTCCTGTGGGACTTACTCAGTGTTTTTAAGCCCATAAAACTGAAGAGCATGTGAGTTTTGAACTAAATAGAATGAGACAATGATGAAAAGTTTACACACACACAAGCACACAGTTCTATACAGTTCACTTGTGCCTTGGATGGATAGTATTACCACTAATAGTAAAAACACAATTCGTTCCAGTCTACTGGCCACCCTGTTTTAAGAGTTTTAGAAGATCCCTGAGCACATTTTTCTGACTCTTAACCCCAACTCCAAAATGATAGGGCTTCTATCCTTGATATCAAGATGGATTGTCATTCACAGTAAGTCAATCATAAGGTGCTTATTTACCCTTTTTTTCACCAATCAGCACAAAGAACTGTCAGAAAATAACTTTTTATTATTACCGTAAAAGAATAGCACTGGAAAGACACATGATTTAAACAATCAATGCTTGAAACAGTGGCTTTAGGATTATTATCTGGCTGCCCCCTCAACAATAACAAGTGATTCGATCGACATTCCTTAGCCAAAAACAAAACAAGAAAAGAAACCCAAAATGAACCAAAAAAAAAAAAAAAACTGTACAAATATGTATTTTCCCTGAGGGATCAAGGTACACCCGCAAGTGCTCTATGTACATATTGCACTAGAGAGGAATGAAGAACATGTGCAAAAAAGCAACAATGAGAAAAGCTCACACACTACTTAAAACTTTTCATTAAGGATCTACTATGTTATTTTGCATTTTGGAATGTCGGAACACAAACAGCTATGCTATTCCTTAGTCTAAAACTAAAAACACATATTTCTACTATGGCACATTCAATGAAATAAAACGTTTTCCAAAGACAGATAGACAAATTCCATCAAGAAAATAATACAAAGTTTGTTTGTTTGTATTTTTTTTTTTAGAAAATTACATTACTTTCTTTCTTTGTTTCACATTACAAAATCTTTTTTTTTCTTTACACAAATCACATTTTATTGCAGGAATATTTCAAGTGCCATCAAATATTTATAGAAGGGTTAAAAAAATAGAAGTCTCTCTAAAGTGGTCCAGACAAGGCTTTGTATAGAATAAATCTTTTTTTCCCCATCTTCTAGTTTTGATTTAAGTATTTTGAATACATTTTCTTTTCCATTGACACTTAGTAGCCTAGAAGCGGTCCGACACACATACATCATACTCACACAAATCACACACACACACTCCTTCCTCCCCTGCCCCTTAGCCCACCCCAAACACTCACAGAGATCTGGTATCCACACTATAAAGAACAACCAAACTTAGAAGCAGTGTCTCAGGTCATGTTTTCCTTAAGTTAGGAAGGGTGAATTAGGATGCTGAAGACTTAAAAAAAAAAGATAGCTTTAACATAAATTAGGATGCTGAACACAAAAAAATTCATAGCTTTAACACAATTTGCAATCTGTCCAAAAAAGCACTTTCATCTGCACTTTTGATTTCATTGTGACCAAGGTCAATTTTTTGCAAAATAATTTGATTATTTGGATACCATCATAACAAAATATTCAGGCTTTGCACAAAAGCCTTATTTACCTTCTGTAAAAAACATTATAAAAAGGCATTATAGCAGCCGCATTTACAATGATGTGGTTCCATTCCTTAAAATACTACTGGACATTTATGTTCAGGAAACTTTAATTATATGAACTATTCAGAATAACTGTTCTGGTATCACCTAGTATTTTGTGTGATCACAAGTGTTTTTGTAATAAGAAAGAATATAAAAATGTAAAGGTTTTCACATCCTTTTCTAGACTCCATAGTTCAACTGCATTTATTTTTGAGCTTTACATCCTAACTTAGATCCAAATAATAGTCAGTTGTTCCCCCAGTTTTTCCAAGTATGTCTCTGTCTCTACTATTCTGTTCCTACACTGTCAGTGGAGTTTGCCCTGAAAGTTTACCTCTTGCTTTCCTTTCAGAAACACCCAGAAGCAGCATCACATTACTCTGTCTTGGTTTACTTTTATAAAAGCAATGTTACCATGGCATAACTGTTACTGGGATTAGAGCATGTTTTCTCATTAGGTACATGCAAAATCCTTTCTGGGGAAAGGAATTCCTTTTAAGTTCAACATTACATTCTCTCTCACCCTTAGAGAAGTTCAATTAGCTCTTCGTAAACACAAATGGACACTGGAATTAGGTTTAGTTGCTCTTTAATGCACTAGCACCTGAGGCTGGTCATATTCAGAAAGCTTTGGTTAAAAAGAAGTTAATATACTTTAATAAAACCATCCCCAAATTTAGTGAATCTCAATAGCCAAAAAGAAAAAAAAACAAAACAATAAACCCAAACCCCCACACCATTCCCCCCCAAAGGAGAAACAATAAAAAGAGTATGGACAAATAAATAACTGAACTTGGTGCTCTTTTCAGAGTATAAATACTATTAATCTTTAAAGGAACTATGCTTACTTAAATAAAAATTCAATTTAACCCTTCTTGCCCAAATATAAATACTATATCCTGACAGTTAACCTCTCTATATAAACACTCACATAAAATTTTATATGCCTGTAAGAAATTTAAGTAAATATTATTCTTCTATTTATGGTTAAAACATTATTTTTGAAAAAAAAATTTAGATGTTATTTAGGCTTCATACACACTTCTGTGTAAATAATTCCTTCCCCTTTTCCAAGTCCCTTGGGAAATAAGTCAGAAAGCCAGTGGAGTTAAAAACAGAGTGAGGGGCTCTGGGAAGCCGCCCCAGTGACCCAAGTTGACATCAGCAGGAGCCAAAATTCCTGCGGAAGATTCTGGAAGGACCTTAGTGGCAGAGGAGGCTCTTGAATGTAAAGGGTTTCTTGGAAACTCCCCCTTTACACCATGGAAGATGTACCCTTATACTTGCAGACGTGGTCTCTGATGTCAGATTCCCACCCCTCGTGTGACTAAAATCATCTTTTAAAAGCCTGCATCCCCACACCATCACTTGTTTTTAAAATATGCACACATGTACATCATACTGTTCCTTCTTCCTTCTCCCTTCTCCCACTGGGGATTATTTGAAAGAAAACACAAAATTAAACAAAAATAGCTCAATATTCCTGAACACAAAAGCCAAACAATCTTCTAAATATTTAACAAAATAAATTACAATCCACAGTTTTCTAGTGAAGATAAATACAAGAGTAAATGTTTGCACCTAGCATCAACTTCACCTTAAAGGCTTAAAATATTTAAATAAGAGAAGCTGGTTCAATACTGAATACCTCTCTCCTTCTCCTAGCCACTGTCTGCCATGTATAGACAATAGTAGCATTTGGGACAAGTCTAGAATCAATTCATTCTGAGCTGAACTCTTAGGGTTCCTAGATTATACAAAGAACATAAAACATTCAAATAATGCTCCATGTCCTCACATGGGGAATTTGCCTTTGCTTCAGATACAACCTTTGGGTCCTCTGTATAAATAAATGCTAGATTTCAATAAATATTCTTGTTACAGATTTGTTCTCAAAGTATTAGAATTCCAAGTTGAGACTGAATCCATATGACAACTGAATCATGTAAAATGAGCCTCTCTCAACCACCTCCCAAAGGTGACATTTTAACAAGCTTTCTTTTTGTTTTCTTTTTGTTTTTAAATATACATGATGGTTTAAGTCCACAGCACCAATCAATCATTCAACTTTGTATGAAGCATAAACACATCTATTCTTAAATTTACCAAAAAAGCAAAGTATAATTTAGGGAGAGTTCTGTTTCTAATTCTAAATTCACATGTCAAAAAAAAAATTCAACATGCTGATTTCTAGATATGACCAGCCAGTCTTTTACACATAATTTTGTAAACAGCAGCATAAATACCTCCCGACGTACCTTCCAAGCCTTCTCAGTTAAACTTGTGTTTCTGGTGCACATGCGACACGACAGTGAACACGCGAGCATTTAATTTAAAGAAAAAGGTGCAAAATGAAAGTGCCTTATCAATTCAACAGGAAAAGCTACACCAGTAAACTACATTTTATATTAATTAAAACAATATATAAACAATATCTCTTTTAGCTATATATAGTCTTCATGCCCATTTACCCTGTAATATATTATAATGCTATTGTTTCTAGTGCTATGGACCCCTTTCGTGCCATCCTGCTGATTGGCAATAATCGGTGAGAAAATAAAAACTTCCTTCATGAAACAAAGAGCAAGTTGTGCAAAGTAATGCTGCAACCTCCGCTATGCACACCAGTCACCGATTATTGATGGACTCTCTGTTGTAACTGACAGATTGGTGACTGTAGAAAGTCTGTGGGCAGTGAGCTACAAGAAAAGGAAATTCTCCAACTTTAGTACCCTCCTTCTGTTGTAAACAGAGGTCAACGCTCAAGAAGTCAAGACAGAAAAAGGGTCCATATCTGTAGGCATAATGGAAATCATATGCATGAGAAAAACAAGTTCAACTTTATTTGTTTTCACTGTTCCCCTCCTTTGCCTGACCCCGATCACCAAAAGATGTGCAGTGTATTGGCGCTCCAGGGCTGTGCAGGGCCATAGAAAGTGTCTTGGTTATTTTTTTTTCATTTTCTTTTTTCATGTTTGTACTTCAGACATTCTAGAAGTGTTTAGGTGATACATTTACCCATCAATTTGCATTGCTGGCTCAAATTCTGAAGTGAACAACTCCTTGTACAATGGAGGAAAGTGAAGTCGCACAATGTCTGGATATATTGCTTTAAATGCTGTTAGCTTTTCTGTATGTCGTCCACATAAGGCTCTTAACGTAGACACCTTGCATATTAACTGTAAGTGGGAGAAAGGACATGGTCTCAGGAAAGGACAGGCATAAGAATAAAAATTCAAGGAATCTGGATGATCTTTATCTACAATTTTGTTTGTAAAGGTAAAATACACTTAAAGCAACTTAAACCTCCAGTCAGGGAGGTGCTGATCTAGTACAAAAACATACACGATGATCTAGTCATGTCGCAGAATGCTAGAAATACACTGACTGCTATTTTGACCTGACTGCTAATTTAACCTAAAAAAGTATTCATAAGAAAAAGTTAGCCCCACTCATCAGTGCAGGAGTCCAGATAAGAACCCAAGGCTCTCACCTCCTCCCTAATCCAGGGTGCTTTCTGCTCTACCATCCCAAACCCTGCCCCATGGGAAAAGAAGAGAACTGATGATGGAGAAGTGGGAGAGAGGATAGTCCTGGATGGTTTGGGCACTACAACTAGAAAGGAGAGGGCATGACCTACATGTTTTATCCAGAAGGAGTACTAGCCAATTCCAGGGACAACATGTGTCTTCTGGATAAAGAGCTTTTCCATATATAATTAAGCCATCTGGGTCTCAGCAAAAGAACAGTCAGAAGGCCTGAACGGAAGTCCCAGCATTGACCAGTTACCCACTGAAGGTTAGAACAGGATTTGCAAAGACACTTGTTATCTCTAAAGCACCACACAAAGGTAACATACTTATGGTTTCAGCCCAGAATGAGCCTCTCTAGGAAATGTTTTCACTAGATCTTTTTCATGTGTTAGGTGCTCTCTACAACAAAAGAAGTTAATAGTGCTCTTGCATTTGAGTAACAAGATGGAGAGGAGTGAAGCTGCTGATGGATCTTCACCTTCCATTTCCCATTCCTGCCTTAATTACTCATGTAGCAAGTGCAAAATCAAATACAAGACAGCAATTAACCCACAAATTCTCCTTTATGACCTAACCTAGCTATCAGGAAAAAAAACAGCTAAATAACAGCTGTTATTATATATGTTATAAAAACAGCTAACCATTTCAAATCTCCTTCCCCTATAATAAAACACATAAAATAATCTAAGACTATCAAACAGGCATTAACACTGAAGGACATTAATATATTTTAAAACGGCATCCTGCCTTTTTATTGTGAAAGATAATAGCAAAAGGTGGAGTCTTATGCTTTTAATACAGAGTAGTAGAAAGAAATTGATAAAGAAAATAGAAAAGTTAATATTGATTACTAATGAACTTAATGGAAAGAGAACTAATACTAGAATATATGGTTACTCTAACTCTTTTAGTCCTTCATAATGTCTTCCTTCTAAATTCAGAGATGGTTCTTCTACTTTACATTAATGCAGAATGTTAACTTTGTTTTATGCCCAACTTTGATGAAATAGGAAGAGATTTCTGAGTGTATTAATGCTTAAAAATTTTCTGTTTTCCTGAAAGTGCCCTATTATTTCAGGATACTTTGTGATCAATGATAATAATTAAAATTTAACCTAAGTAATGAGAATTCTGGCTCAACAGAATTCTTTGAAATGAGGTTTGTTTTTTAGTAGCCTGTGGCATATTTATATTTTGCAGGTCTGATCACATGACTTACAAGGGCATCTGGCAAGCATGATCTATGCCCAAGGACTATTTGGGCCATGCTACCTGAAACCCTTTGGCTCTCACCTTTGTTAGTATCCCATCTTCTCGGTGATTCTTCTGTAGGACGTGTTGAAGAGCTAGCTGAATTTTCTGTTGCAGTTTTTCAATTTTTACCTTTTCCTGCAGCCATGAGCGATCTAAACATAAACAATGGTACTCTTTAGTATTGTTCCTCCAACATGGTGTGAGACTACTCCATTCCCCCTTGACTCTTAGATGTGATTATTATACCACAATGCATGTTTAGAAAGTCATGGACCAGTTTCATACTTCTTTCAAAATTTTCTCTTAAAGGGGTGGGAAAGTGATCTATGACAGTTATAAACCAGACTGTTAACCTTTCTATTTTTACTGATGTTTAAAGGAAGGCAGGATCCTCCCCTCTTAAAGGGTAGACATTTAAATTGAAGACCATACTCATATAACTGCCAATGAATCCATCATGGCCCCTTGAGGCTTTCAAATATATTTCTTGCTGAAATATTTCTATCAATCCTGCTAACCTTTTTTTGGCAAATATGAAATCACCTTATAACACAAGGCAACTAAAGTTGTCAATAGAGTTCCAAATGACCTAACGGTGGTTAATTCAGAATAAAGTGTTTTTGAGTAAGAATTCCAAATAGAAGATAGCAAATTTGCAAAAGTGATTGGCTTCAAGAGGCAGCACTGGTTGAAAATGTAGATTAATTTAAGATGACAATAAGTGGATTTTAAGAAGAGATAGAGAGTCTTAAAAAGGCATGTTATTTTGGAGGGTATTGTTAAGAAGGTCCATCCTACTCAACCATAGCGTTTGTCTGGGTATGTGGAGGTTAATTCTGTACGGCTCTTTAGTTCTCACTTCTTAAGGTTATATCTGAAAGACATGAGATCTTTTTAAAAGAGTTTTATGTATGTATATGTAGAGGGTGTTCTTTGAAACGTTTTAAATTAGATTTAACAAGGGCGGCAGCTGCTCTGAGGAGCCCCTCACATGTTCTATAGCCAATAAAAGTTATGTACCTTGTAAAATTCTTTACCTGGACAGTTTTGAAACCATTTTGTTTTATTTGGTTGTCTTACCTGCTGACATCAGTACAAATGCAGAAAATAATGCAATTTCATCTTCAGTTAGGTGCATAGAACATAAACTCTTTCCAAATTCAAACACAAAGCTAATAAAGTCTTCACAACCTGCCAAAATGAAAATAAAGATGTTTTTAAGATTTTGGTTATTATCCTATGAGAGAACTATGGAACAAGGTGATGAAAGAGCTAGTAGCTGAAGATCAAGTGAGACAGTAAGAACATTTCTACAGTTCAATAGTTAGAAATCTCAGCATCACCATCACCAACAGTCACCATCACCACCACCATTACCACCACAAATAAAGTATCCAAAATAATGAGAGTGAACTTCTGTTGTATGATTACTATGCCAAGAGATTTCTTTAGGTTTCTCATATTTCAGAACAACCCTGTGAGGAAGGCATTATTATTATTACCCCCATTTTAAAGATGAGCAAACTGAGACTTGTGGAGATAAGTAAAGTACCTAAGGTCACACATGATGCACAGCCTGAGATTTCAGAGCCCCCATTCTTGACTCATAGGGTCTAGTGCTACAATCTAACTGAAGTGTTAAATGTACTCATTTTTGTTCTCAACTCTGTATTAGATAATACACACTTAAAACTGTTAACAAATGACACAAACTGTTGGTAAAACTATCACAAGTATTTACTGAACCAAAAACAGAATGTACAGGTCACCTAAAATAATAATCCAGTCCTCAAAAGACTGGTTAAGTTTGGTGTCTATTCTTTGAGATTTGCCTGTTATGTATATATATGTAAATGGCGATGGGCTCGACCTACCTACTGTCATGCAACTTTGAAGAACATCACTGAACAACATAGCTTGGGTTCCTTTTCACTTTTCTTAATCACTATATTCCATATTATTTAAGTTACAGAAATCCAAAATTATATAGTATATGCCATAGTTTCCCTTAGCTCCACTTTATTTCTTGGACATTGAATTTCCTTCTCATTAATGGTTTTTGTTTGAGGGTTTTGTCAGGAAGGGCAGGCCTTTTGCTTGTTGCTTGGTTAAATGTATCAAATCATATCCTCTAAGTTCTTTGAACATTTGTCTTCTATAAATCTGTTTTTTTAAGGATCTGGAGGGGGAGCTGGAAGGATATCTAATATAAATCACTTCAATTACCAAAGAGATAAAATGAAACTCCAGATCTTTACACTCAGGTGTGTAGGTGTGTAACTTTTCTACAGTGACTAACTATAAAGTAAAATAGTATTAAGCCCTTTAATTTTGTCTTCCAAATAACCAGTTTCCATTTGGTCCAGTGAGAACTTTAATCCAACCCACATCTTTCCCATATCCTGAGATTTCCTTACCTAAGGATCTGAAGACATCGGGGCTGGCATACTTTCCATCAAAGTACACTGCATTGTTCTGAGAGTCAAAGGCACGGCACATTCTGATAAACACCACCTCTAGAGAACCTAAGTAGAGGCAGAATTTGTTTGAGTCATTTGGATCTTAGGAAGCTCATTTCTAAGGTGCTAATGTAGAGACCCTTCTGAGACGGCGCAGTGGTGTGGTGTGCAGTCCTAGGCCGGCAGTCACATCAGCTGTGTCGTCTGAGAGGGTAGAGCTTACTACTAGAAGCAAAGACTATTATGCAGAAGCTAAGTTAACTGAAACGAGGTTTGATTTACAAATCACTTCCTTGGCTCATGTCTACCTTGCAATGCAGTCTCAAAGTTCCTAGGCAGCATTTTTCATAGTTATTAAAACAACCAAAATCCAGGGATGACTCCCTAACAATATGGCGGCAGGACTTAGAGGGTAGACAAAACATAGGTGATAGTGAAATTTCAGAATGCCCATGTCCTTCATTTCAGTCTTCTCACCCAGAGGAGAAACAAAATGGAAAGACTGTTTCTGGCACATAGCGAAAACCTTTAAAAAAGAACACAGTTTTTGCTAAGACAAACCTGAGTTATCATCACTGGAGAAAAACCACTCTTGACACCTTCCTTACCAAGCATTTCTTTAACAAGCAGGTGAAAGCAGGTTAGGAAAAGACATCAAAATTCACTTGCAAAGTTCATACCTGCTTTTAGAAGCACAATTTGATCATTTTGACACAGTTCCATAAATCCATCAATGCGTTTGGCAAACTCTACCACATACTGTATAGCTTCTGTAATTTTGATGGCACACAATTGCCACATCACCTCCCGCTGCTGTTAGAGGGAAACACATGAACATATAGGTTACCCAACATCCTTGGCACAATTGGTTGACCAACTTTCATAAATTATTTTGGAAATAGATTTTAAAAAGCTAGATTAAAAAATACACAGTTGCCCTATTATTTGGGTTATAAGGATAGTGTCATGCCTATTCTGTGTCCTCTGAATCCTTCCTCTCTTACCTTTTGGGGAAAATGAGATGGAGAAAGATTTTTATGAACATAGGGAGCTGAGAAGAAGTCAGGAGAGCAAAACGGGTCACTGCTTTAGCCCTGGGCCACAGAGTGGCAAAGTAGAATCTTCTTTCATTATTTTGCTTGGGAAATTTAACAGAGTCAGTTAAATTTATTGTGCACCTACTTGAGCTAGATGCTTTATGATAGCCTCATCTCATATTGTTTTCATAAGAACTTTTTTTTCATTGTTCAGAAATGACACAGAAGTTCATAGAAGTTTCACAGCCAGTGTCTCTAGGAGCTGGATTCAAATCCAAGAATCTTGGGCTGTGAAATCCCATTTCATCTACCTTGCAGTTTCTTAGTGTTTTCTTGTCTGTCATTTGTAGCTTTAGCTGCAACTTCAAAGGCAAACAAAGTGAAATGCTGCTATTTCCCAACCTGTCCTGTTAATTTCCTTTTGTATACTCACCCTCCAGTTTAGTCACAGGGTAACCTGGATCTGCTGCACTGTCCACCTATTTCCCCAACCTCAGTTTAAGTCTATGTCTACCAAGAAGACAGTGTCTAAGAAACCCTAAATTAAGAGCCAAGAGTCATGGCCTAGTTCTGACATTTCACTCTCCAGCCACATGACAAGGGATGTTAGTTTCCTCAAATATAACACAAAGGGGAGGATTAACCTAGACAATCCCCATGGTCCTTTCCAAGCCTGAATTCCACAATTACTGGGGAAACCCACAGCATTTTCTTTTGCCAAAGGAAGAGTGAATAATTAGAGGTTCCCCACCTCCAACTTGCCCTCCCATTTTAGTGGCTTCTTGATCAGAGTTGTAGAGAAAAAGGCAGGTGGCAGTCCCATGTGACAAGCTCCTATCATAGGTTCACACCAGAGTTAGGGTCATAGCTGCCAAACCTTATTTTTGTACATGCGTTCTAAATTCCTCCTTGTTTCCTCTGGAAACATGAAGTCAAGATTCTTTGACACCAATTTCTAGGCCTTAAAATCTTCCATGGTGATATTGGGACAAATCTTAATTCATATAGGTTTTTGGAAGTTGTTTGATTGAGTCCCTTGTTACCAATGGAAGGAGGTGTGAGTACACTAATAAAACACAACAGAACTTGTTATTGCTGAAATTCCACATGCTAGCATCTCAGTAAGATGACAAAACCTCAAGGATACAATCAACTCTGGAAGAAAGTTTAAACAGAAACTTGGCGTGTGATGACAGACATTCACTCTTTGCTCTGTTTGTACTCTTGAATAAATCTCCTACACCAACAGCCTTCCCACTGTTGCCTCAATCCTAGGGAAAATCTGCAGATTCTACCTTGTTTTGATAGTTCTCAATCTCCTCCTGCAGGAAGGTCTGCCACATTATCTGCTGGAGCTCTTCTCTCAAGTATTGGCAGGTTTCCAGGTGTGATTTAGAGACATTCTGTGCAAGGTGCTCTAAGGAGAGAACAAGAGATTACAACCATGAAAAGCTACATTCTTTGGATGATCAGCGATTTCTCCACTTAGTATTTGCTATAAAAGTAAAGCAATGTGCTGAATCACTTTTGTATTAGGGAACATGGGGATGGAAGACAGGGACTTTGAAAAGCCAACATTGACTGCAAGAAGAGCCTTGGTGACTTCCAAGACTCTGCTGACCTTGACCTTGTTCTGTGTGCTTACTTCAATGTCTGGGAATTAACAAATATTGACCTACTTAAATATGGAAAATGATTGGTGGCCTTTTCTTGGCATTTTAATAATATCCTGGAAAGGATTATGCTTAAAAAACTAGGAATGCTATTCTTCAATGATGATGACTATGCATTTGTTTCCTGCAAATGCACAGGACACATACTGCTAGGTGCTAACATGTGACTGTGTATTAATGCACTTGTTAAGGGACACAGTCTGGATCTACACTGTCTGGGTCTCTATCTCAGCTACTTATTAGCTGTGTGATCTTGGGTGTGATACTTAGCCTTTCTGTGCTTTGGCTTCCTCATTTGTAAAAGGAAGAAAATGGTGCCTGTTTCTTAGTGCTATTGTAAGAATTAAATGAGCTGAGCAGTTAGTTAGAACACATAGGGTTATGTAACATGTGGTGTTTCATTACACTTGAATGCAAGGGGTTTGAAGATACGAAAGAAATATATGCCAGAGATGTTTTGTCTAGGAACTCACACTCTATGGCCATGTACAGACACATTGAAAGAATAAATCGAGACAGTAGATGAGAAAGTAGGAAGGTAAATTGCATCACAAGGTAAAGAAAGATAACAGGCACCATCCAGGAAGGGAGAAAGTGGTGTTGACTTGGTAAAATTGAGAATGTTTCTTGGCAGAAGAGAAACATTTGCATTGGATCCTGATGATAGGTAGGAGTGGCAGGCAGGGGTCAGTGGTGTCGGGGGGGGGGGGTGGACCAGCTCCCTGTAGAAGGAATGATGGATGAAGGAACAAATACGGCATTTATAAGGAACAGGAGATAAAGTAATAGTGTTGAAGCAAAAATATACAATCAAGAGCCCAACTCCTAAGGAGTCTTGAATGTTAGGATTGAATCTGGACCTGTGCAGCATTAGGAAATAGCAGGGTTCTCCAGAGGGAGAAGACATGTTGAAAATTGCATATGGGGACAGAAGACAAGGATTGGAGCAAAGAGAATCTGGGGCAGGAGGACCAATGAGAAGGCTGCTGCAATGTCAGTGTGAGGGGCTAGGCTGGGAGCAGGATGGGAATAATTGTCATGGAATGGAGAATGATTAAAAATTATTGACAAGATTCTGTGCCTATGAAACCATGCCAAAAAAATTATCCCCTTGCAGAGTCTTAAATAGATACCAGGTGAGTCACTTAAAAGAATGCAAACTTGGCAACACTAGTAAGAGTGTCTATTTGTTTGCAAATTTGTTACTGCTTTCTTCAAACAGAAGGAGACTTGTTTGTGTGAAAATAGAGCAGGTTCACCAAAGTGGAGTTTGAAACTAGAATCTCCTTGGAGACATGGAAACATAAGATTTGGCAACACAGAGACACTAAAACAGAATGGATAAATAACATAAAAATCAAACATAAATAAAAGGAAAATTTAAAGAGAGAACAACCTAGAGAAAGAGAAAGAAGCCAGCAAATTATGTGTCTTAGAATCAAGGATGCTTGTGAAAAGCAAAGACAAAATTAATGGGAGTCAGAAACCAGAAAATTAATGCATAACTATGGTGGTAAAGTATCTCCTATAGGATGAGCTCTCACAATATAAGATAGTTTCTAGAATGCAAACCAATTTTTGCAGATATGATAAAAGTGAAGGTTGTTCACAGGGAAGAAGGGGGGCTATGGGGGACGAACAGCGGGAAGCAGCTCATCACTCTATTCCAGGCTATGCTTCTTCAGTTCATGTGCTCAGCATCTCGCTTCACGGCATCTTAAAAAATATGGCCAGGGCTGGGGTGGAGCTCAGTGGTAGAGCAATTTCCTGTATGCACAAGGCCCTGGGTTTTATCCCAAGCATTGCAAAACAAAACAAAACAAAACAAAACAAAATGTTGACACTACATAATTGAATCTGGCTAGCCAGTAAAGAAGCCAGACAAGGAAAAATGCAGTGCATATGATATGCCAGTAGAGGGCAGTGGCTGCATTCTCACCAACTGCTCACTGTCTCACCAATTCATTGTACCTTTAGCAAGTCTAAGATTTTAGACACGTTGCTTTTTTTTTTTTTTTCTGGTGGTACTGGGTTTGAACTCAGGACTTTGCACTGGCTAGGCAGGTGCTCCACTACTTGAGCCATGCCTCCAGCCATTTTTGCTCTAGTTATTTTTAAGATAGGGTCTCTTGGTTTTTGTCCTGGCCAGCCTCAACCTCCTGTTTTATGCTTCTTGCCATCGATGGGAAAACAGGTGTGCACCACCACACCAGCTTTTTTTTTTTCCCTTGTTGAGACGGGGTCTTGCAAACACTTTTACTAGGGCTAGCCTGGAACTGTGATCTTTGCAATCGCAGCCTCCATAGAGTTTAAAATAACAGGTGCACACCACAGTGGCCAGCAGTTGGTTGAGATGGGGTCTCACTAACATTTTACTCAGGCTGGCCTCAGCTGTGATCCTCTCTCCCAATCTCAACCTCCCAAGTAGTTAGGATTACAGGCATTAGCCACTGGCACATGGTAACACTTCGCTATTTTTAAATCTCCATTTCAGCAAAGAAGAACATAGTTAAGACTGAATATAAGTTAAGAGGTTATTGTGGCCTCTCAGAGAAAGCCTGTGAAATACCTTGGACCTAGGAGTTAAGAGACCTGATTTCTGGTTGCAGCTTAGCAGATATCTCTCCATCTGTGATAGAGCAAGCCAGTTTCCTTCCTTAACTATGACTGCTTCATCAATACAGCCAGTGTCTAATGCCTTCAGGTGCAAAAGTCTGGCTCCTGGGTTACTCAGACTTTCAGAGTGGGGAGGAACTTTACATATGATCTCTTGCAAACTCTCATTTTGCAGGTAACAGCACCATTAGTAATGGCACTAATTAACACTTACCACTTACATGGCATTTACTATGTGCCAGACCCATATATTTCCAGCTATTGTAAATATATGTATCTTCTCACTTAATTTCACAATGCCTGGAGAAAGCTACTAGTTTCATCTCCATTTTATAGAGGAGGAAACTGAGCCAGAGTATGGTTAAGTGACTTCTTCTTCTGCTAGTGTCGCGGCTAGCAGGTGGCAGAGCTATACTTCAATCTGACTTCAGAGTCTGTGTTCCACCTTTTTCTATAGAAAGGGAAAGTGCAGTTTGTAGGCTACTTGATGTACACTGGGCTATAGCTTCTCACTCTGCCTAATATATCACTCATCTCTCCTGCATAAGGCATTAACTAACAATTATAGTAAGAAACACAATTAGCCCTTTTAAAAAATGAGCCTAGGTTGTTTATCTGGAAGATAAAATTTGGGCACTAATTGCACACCAAAGGCAAGACTTCCTAACAAAGAGAGGAGACATATTCCACTGACAGTAACGGGCTATGGGTGCTATGATTGAAATACAGAACTGGATTAAAGATATATTAATATACAAGTTATTTTCCTATTGTGCAATTTGTCTTTATATGTTCAAAGTCCTATGACAAAGTTTAGCTTAAAATGAAGTCAAGAGGATCGCAGGACTTAAGCAGCAAAGGAAATAGCAAGGAATTTTAGGCAGCTTTGACTTTTATGCTACTTTCAGCTCTCTGAAACTACTCTGCATATGTAGATGCGAGAGAAAACTAGAACCTAATTGTATCCTTTTCAGAAAATCCCTAGCTTAGTTTTGAGTTTGAGTCTACTCCTAGTCATGAGTTAATGCATCCTGGAAAATGCTACAATCCACGTGGAAAAAAAAAAAAACATTGAAAAGAGCAAAGTGTAAAAGACAGAGCTTCCTGTCTGCACTGGGATTTGTCCGTGGATTCGGGAGAATGAACACAGCATTTCTGACCCCTTCAAATATTAATGCACTTGTAGCCAAAGTGTCCAAGTGCAGGGGCAACACTTTGGCTAAGCTCTATGGATTTATTTCAGGATTGGACACTTGACAAGCGAACAGGGCAGATTCAGCAGTATTTATGGTAAGGTGACAGTGGACCCAAAGTGAGTCAGGTCACCCTTCATGGGATCATGTCAGCTTTCAATCAAATTCCTCATTTCTGAAAATTTTACTTTCATTATAGCTTTGCTTAAGGCTCAGCCAACTAAGATTCCATGACAAAAAAATGGAAGGTTTTTGTTCTAGTTCGAGAAAAAAAAAAATCAAACCTACCTCTGCTCAGCTTGGCTTCTAGTTCAGAGGTTTCTCTGGTGATCAAAAGAGCTGTGACACACCTTTAATGCGGTGCAGTGGTTAAAGACCAGCCTTAAAGTATCCCTGCTCTCGAGGGTTTAAATTTAGACTCAAAAAAGAGATGCCTGTGTAAAAACCGTAAAGAACATTCAATTTGTTCTATTTGGAGAAAGATTTTACTGGAAATATAAATTTTCACTACAAAGATGTTTTATGGAGCATAGAAGTGGAGAAATTGTCTAAAGAACACAGCCATCATTCCTGTGACCTGAGGACCTCTGTGCTCAAGTCAGACCTGCTGGTTCCTTTCCACCTGAGGTCTTCATTCTGTCTTCATGTTAATTTAGGCACCTCCGTGGCAGCTAATTGAAATATGCCAAAGGATTATCACCTCATGTGAGGAATCACCAGGGGGATGGATCAAATACTAAAACTGCAAAGATCCTTCTCAAAGTTTCCCTAATTATAGTGCTGTATTTAAAAATCGATTAAATATAACAGAGGATGCTAACATCACTTCTATGACATGGAAAGTTTTCCATTGTCTATGTTATCATCATTTGTAGGTCACACATCTCCTAGAAGCAGCCATGTCCTAGCAATAAGGACATGAAAGGGCCTTTTTGGTGGGGGGAGGGGGGCGCATAGTGAACTTTATATGAAATAAATCAATTTTTTCACCAATATCTGTTCTCAAAGCATTTTGTCGAATAAAGAAGCTATCCCTTTGAGATTTATAGTACACCTGGGTCAGCAAAACGTAGATGCCTGTAGGTGCTAGGCAAATGATATAAATGGGAGACGCCCATCTGAGGTGTTACCTCTGAGGGGTGCCAGTTGGTTGCTGAAATTCCTAAATGCTGACAATCTGAACTTCTGTCATAGGTGCCCAAGTTTACTGAGGAGGGTGGGATAGGGAGAAAGTGGACAAATTTCTATGTGGATAGTAAGGATAAGTCCTAGGGTTATGTGATACAGTAGGTTGACTATAATAACAGTAGCTATGCATTTCAAAAAGCTCTCAGGGAGGATTTTGAATATTGTCACTGAAAAGAAATGCTAACTGTGTGAGGTGCTGTATACCCTTATTGGATTATTACACAATGTGTACATGGGTCAAAGCATTCCATTGTTCTCCATAATGACATACAAATGTTATATGTCAATTGAAAACAAAACAGTTTAAATTTTACCAATCAATTCAAAAAGGTCAAAACTCTAGTTCAGTCAAAAAATTTGTTTATGGGCCAGGTTCAGTTTGTGGATTGATATATTTGTGGCCTTAGACATAAAGCAATACCTAGGATATAACTAAAGTAAATAACAAAGTTAATGCAGCCATTCTCTGGACTTAACTGTTTTCTGCAGAATGTAAAGACTGCTTCATGCATATTGTCTCATTCTGAACTGAGGTCAATGTGTTTATTGGATGTGACAAGGGAAAGAACAGCCTATTAAAAGCAAGGGGACAGGCTGGAATGTGAGAGGGCCAGAAAAGCAGAGGGGAATTGTATGCTTCCCCGTGCCGCCTTTGGCTGTACTGGTGTTTGTATTCAGGGCCTCACACTTGCTAGGCAGGTGCTCTACCACTTGAGCCACACCCCAGCCCTTTTTTGCTTTGGTTATTCTTCAGGTAGAGTCTTGCATTTTTGCCCAGGCTGCTTTCATACTGTGTCCTTCCACCTATGCCTCCCATGTAGCTGGGATCACAGGCATGCTGAACCATGACACCTGGCTTCTTGGTTGAGATGGAGTCTCACTAACTTTTTGCCTGGGCTAGCCTAGAACTGTGATCCTCCCTATCTCCACCTCCCCAGTAGCTGGGATTGTAGGCATGAACCAAATGCCAGCTTGGAAATTGCCATTATCCTAACACCACCATCCAACACATCTCTTTACTTCAAAGGGCATGTGCAGAGCAAGGCAGTGGAAGCAAGCCAGTTGTTACCTAGTTCTGCCATGGACACAGTTGGGGAAGTCTCGCCATTGGTGAAGGAGCAGTATGGGAAGAAGCCAGATGCTGGTGTGTAGTCACAAATGGGTTCTGGTTTGATCCCATTGATATCAAGCCCCGACTGGTCTGGGGAGGGCTGTATGTCCAGGTAGAAGCTGCTGACGGCAGAGTCGGCCTTGCTGCCCTCGGGGTGTGCCCGTCCATGTAGGTGCTGAGGTCGTCGTGCAGCTCCGTCAGCCCGTTGGCCGAGATATTATAGGTAGGTGTCAGTGGCTCAGCCTCTCCTGGCTGCTGCTGGTGGTCCCGTTGCTGCTGCTGCATCCGGTGCTTCTGCACTTCCGCATACAAGCTGTCTCTCTGCTTTTTCGACATCCGGCCGAATTTCACAGCTGCAAGGAAAAAGGCAAACCACCCCATATTCCACCTGCTTGTCCTCATCAGCAGTTCCCACATGCTTTAGGGTTTCCTTGAACTCTCAATGTTAGCCAAACCCCATGTGACCACAGAATAAGGACATCATCCACAGGGGATAATAGTCCCCCTCACCCAGGCTGTCCCCTCCCCAACCACACATCCCAGAGAAACAGAGCCAGAATAGGAAGAACCTTCTGTCTATCTTCCTGCAGTCACAGACCTCCAGCTCATGGGGTACCTCTCTCTACCCACTGGTTCACTCTCTACCCACAAGACTGGCCTAGCCCTCCTCTTTTCCCCGACCAGAGGTCAGGGATGCAAAGACTCATGGGACACACCAAGGCAGAAGGGAGTCACACCTAAACTTTCATGCAACTCTCGGTTCTGTACACTTGAATGAGGTTCATCCTGGCCAAGCAGCTGGATCTGGAGTTTTAGGGAAATTGGATGAACCTTTGTAATGTTGTGAATTACATTTCTGAGTCTGCTGGACCTAAGAATCCCCCTATTCTACTCAATCGTTGGATTTTTTTTTTTTTTTTGAGATGGGGTTTTGCCATGTGGCCCAGGCTGGTCTTGAACTCCTGCTCAAGCAATTGTCCCTCTCAGTCTCCCAAGTAGCTAGGACTACAGGTACATACCATAGACCCATCTGTAAGTGACACTTTCTAGTAAAAGAAGCGTAAGGAGTTTGAAAGGACAAACTACGTAAGATCCTTATGGGGTAGATTTCTCTGTAGCATGCTCCTTGCAATGTGTCCCCTATTGAACTTGGAGTAACTACTGTAGCAACTTTGCAGTTTTGTTCAAAGTCTCAAACAATTTCTCTTGAAAGCCCAGACAATTGGGAAAACAACAAAAACAATAACAAAAAAAAAGCAAGCAAACAAACAAATAAACAAAACCCCTGTGATTTTCCAATCTGAATTGCAGACTCTAAGCAGATGGAGCCTCTGTTAAAGGGACTCATTTCTCCTAATTGATTGTAATGAAATTGATTCCTAATTTGGGGGATGAATTTGTCCATTTGACCAGCGCCAGAGTTACATGAGTCTGGGGCAGGAGGCAGGAGTGATGTACATGAAGCTGGGAACAAAGCCACCAAACTTGCTAACTGATGGGTTCTTTCCTGTCAAGGAAGATATGCTGTCCTTTTGCACAGAGGAAACACGTGACCTGGAATATGGTCAATTCCCAGTTTCTTCTACTCAAAAGGAAACTTAGATGAGACTGGTTCACAATTAGGCAGATTAGGGACTCTGAATTTCAGGTCCATAATTTTATAAGCCCCAAATTCACTTCATACTCAGAAATTGTGCTATTTCTTATTTGTAAACTTTACAGAAGGTATGTTGAGGGCATTTCATTTTTTGCCAAAGAATAGTCAAGGACACCCACAGGGGACACTTATTCTACTGTGATTCTGCAACTGTGCTTTAACTTTTGCCTTGATAGTAATAACAGTAATCACACCATGCAGGAAATGAAATCAAACGGCTGGCTTGAGAGAAGGCACACACAACTTGTGACTTTTAACCTGTGAGTTCCTAAGAGCTATACCTAACTTTATTAGTGCCGTGGGAGGTGAGCTCTGCAGAGCTGCATGTCTCAGGAATTTCTGAGTATACAGAGCAAGTTCTCTGAATTGTATCTTCCAATGACAACAACTTTATTTTTGTAGTGTTGTACAGGGTGGCCTCATAGCACATGTATGAACAAATGTGATCCTGTGCCTAGGTGGGCCCCCAGGCCCTAAGAATGTCTGATTATGGGAAAGGCAGGCTTTCCACAGGCTGAAATTTCACTGGAGGAGTCATCTTCTTTCAAGGGGATCTCTTAAGGCAGCCAGCTGGTATATTCAGAAATGTCCTTAAAATGGACCCGCTGTACCTTCTGCCCAGCTCCCATGTATAAGAATAACTGTTTTGAAATCTGGTGTTGATTATTCAGTGTACTTAAGATAGTTTTCAGGAAGATCTTGAAATGTTCTATAATTGAATGATAGCTGGTCCTAGTCCTTAAAATAGCTTCTTTTTAATGAAAAGAACATTTGTCATTGAACCCCACTCTGCACTATTTTCACACATTCTGTATGTACAAATATTTGACTTTAGCATGGATTTCAAAGATCCAGTTAGCATAAAAGTGATTTCATCCCAAGTGCCAGCAAACTCTCTAGTGGAAGGCAAGTGACCATTTTGGTTTGTATTGACTCCTAGGGAAAATGGCTACACAAGGTCTTAAGGCTCTCAGAAGACAATTTCAACTAATTCATGTACATGTCATGTCTGAAATGTCAAAAATCTGATGGTTTTCTCATTACAAGACATCTCCCCTCTAACCTACCTGCCCCCTCACACACACACACACACACACACACACACACACACACACACACATGCACACACCAGCCCGCCATATGACTCCAACAGACCATGGTGAGAAAGCCACTGCTGTGAGTTCTATAAAGCTGCCAGAGCACCTGGATGGAGGGCCAAGAGGGCATTTTCTGTCAGATCTGGGTCTATGTTTCAGAAGGCACAAAGTTTCTCCACCCCCTGCTTCTGTACCACTCAAGCTGCGCTAACTCACCATCTCGAGACATCCCCACAGCAAGGCATTTCTGCAATCGACAGTGCTGGCAGCGGTTTCTACTGGTTCGATCAATCAAACAGTTCTTCTGACGAGGACAGGAGTAGGTGGCATTGCTTTGCTGACTTCTCCTGAAAAAGCCCTGTGATTCAGTTATAAAATATAAAACAGGTTAGTATACTGAGTGGCATTAATATTTAATGGAGAATTAAACTTGTAGCAGAATCATCCAGGAGACCATTAATGAAATTAAAGTCACTTCGTTTTCCTTGAGTAAAATTGATCCCCAGAGCCTAATCCTCTGTCCTTTACACATGCAAAACTTTCTTTAACTTCAGCAGACAGTTGCCTATGTAAAAGGCACATCAGGGCCTGTTCCTGGGTTCTGATGATCAAAAGCAATGTGGTAGATTAAATGATACAAAGGATTTATCTTTACTCTTTATCTCCAAAGTATTTTTAGTAAAATAAACACAAAACACTTCTCTGGGATGTCCAGAGTTAAGGAAAATGTAGCCACACTATAACTCAGAGTGCTACAATCATGACACACTGGGGTAATCTCTAAAAGACCACTTAAAACTATTGGCCCATGAGGCAACTCTTACCCCAAGTTCAGACCTACTGGGGCAAGCAGTTAGATGTCACTCGGAAGGAAGATTGTGACAGATCATTCAGATTGGGGATTCTACTTAGTCCCTGACAGTTTGGAAATACCAGTGTTCAGAATCATGGCCTTTAAGACTTAACAGATGCAATCTGATATGATCCAGTTTTCTCTTGTGTGTGAGAAGGTCTACAAAGATGCACACAGAGCTACTAACCTCCAGAATTTTATTTTTGCTTCTTTGTTTATTAACTTAAATTCTTAGCTCATTGATTTCCAATGTTTATTCTTTTCTGAAATCTGCAAGTTTTCCTTTTCTTATGTTTTGCCAGCAACCCACAAGCTTTACTATGTGTTATTTTCATGATCACTTGAAACATGTTCCATGGATTTCTTCTGTAATTCTGATATTATTTAGAAGCATGTTTCTTAATTTCCAAATACATGAGAGGGTGTGGCTACATTTTTATTGCTGACTTATCTTTAAGTGGTTTTGTAAAGCAGGCATGTATGCAGAAGAAAAATAAGGTAACTGGAGTCATTTTTGTGAAGTAAAGCATGAGAATTAGAATCTTCAAATAGTGAAGATAAATGACTCCAACAGAGAGGACACTGGTGGACAAAGTACCAGTGACAGTACTTTTCCTCTAAAAGATTTTTCTGAAACCTGATTTGGCAGTTGTATCAAAATTATTAAAAACTACTCAGCCAGAAGTTACTTGTTAAGAAATAAACCTTAAAGGAATATTAGGAATGGTACAAAGATTCACCTGCAAGGATGCTCTTCACAGTACTAGCTCTAATATGAAAGAAATGTAGAACCATCCAGCATTAGTGAACTGAGCCATATTGTACATCCATACACTGGAATTCAGCTGTCATTAAGAATGGTAATTCAGAAATCCATTTGAATACTATTCAATTTGAATTATTATAAAAAGGTGATGAAAATCAGCTAAAGTACTACATACAGTATAATTTAATTTTTGAAAAAGAAAAAAAGGAACCCATATATTTAACAAAGAAAAAACTTTGGAAAATTATGCCTGAAAATGAAAAGAATTTTCAGCTTTCATTGGTAGGGCCACCAATAATTTTTCTCTTCTTTTTGTTTATCTGTGCTTTTTCTGACTTTCTCCTATAATGTATACATAGAAAGGTACATGAGCTACTTGAAAGAACAATCTAGGATAACTACTTCCTGTGTGATGACCAGGGGCCTTTGTGTACCAAGTCACTGCACATGACCTATGTGACCTTGTTTCCCAGCTCTTTACTTTTGAAAATCAACCTGGGAAGGGTGTGTGTGTGCACGTGTGATCCTGATGTCTTCTTGCACTTGCTAACCTGCTTGCTAACCTAGATGGGAGCAAAGGTGAGGGGCTCAGCCTCTCAGCCTGTCTATTGTACTAAAAGTACCCCAGATCAAGTCTGGTCTCTTCTGTAAAGCAGTCTCTTCTCAAAATATCTGAAGCTGTGGGTGTTGTGTGTGTGTGTTAGTCTCCTGTAAAAAGGAAGTGAGAAGAAATAAAGCTTTCTTTGGGGCTTAATGGAGAGATTCCAAGAAAATATAAATGGAAACGGATAATCCTTAGAAAGAGATACCAATAGGTCATCTGTGTAGGTGTTCATTTCAGTCCAACACACACAATCTTTGTCAAAATGGAGAGGTGTTCATTTCTTCCCTGAGACTCAGCCACTACTTCCACCCTCCTTGCGTATTATCTTGCATGTGCCTGGGTGGGTGCTTGGATCTGGAACTTAACTTGCTTTTCCTCTAGTTGTGATTGAATTTTGTGGGCTTCACATTAAGGTTGTTAGAGCTTGTTTTATTTTATTTTATTTTATTTATTTATTTATTTTAATTTTATTTTTTTTTAATTTTTCTTTTATTATTCATATGTGCATACAATCTCCCCCCCGCCCCTACCCCCTCCCTTACCTCCCACTCCACCCCCTCCCGCTCCCCCCCTCAATACCCAGCAGAAACTATTTTGCCCTTATCTCTAATTTTGTTGTAGAGAGAGTATAAGCAATAATAGGAAGGAACAAGGGGTTTTGCTGGTTGAGATAAGGATAGCTATACAGGGCATTGACTCACATTGATTTCCTGTGCGTGGGTGTTACCTTCTAGGTTAATTCTTTTTGATCTAACCTTTTCTCTAGTTCCTGGTCCCCTTTTCCTATTGGCCTCAGTTGTAGAGCTTGTTTTATGATCATTGATATGTAGAATGTCTGCATATTCTCTGTTCTCCTTTCAGTGGAACCAGTACCTGAGGGCTGCTACCTAAGCATCTTTTCCACAGACCTAATCAGTGTATCTGGCACTTCCCTTTTTAGGTTCTTTTCTATTCTTAGTTTTTCTTCTCAAGATCCTATCCAATTTCTTCCCTTCTTTCAGAAGTCTAGAATCCAGAACTAGACACAGCTCCTGAGTAATGGCTAGGTCTTTAATAAAAGGGATGCTACCTTTTAGTGTCCACATACTAATTTAACATCACACCTCTATAAAGTTCCAAAATGTTAGCACAGAAGCCATATATAACCATCAGTCTGCTCTAGAACAAGGTAACTATGGAAGGGCATCGTGGTGATGCACAGATAGACCAATCTTAACGAGTGCTTGCATTAATCACATCTTTTTATTCAATGTTTTTGATGCTTTGACATCTGGGCTTTGTTGGCCCTGGAAGTACTGCTCTTCCCAAGCATAGCCAGTGCCTACAAAGAGCCCACAGCCTTTCATATGCAAACCAAACAATCCAGAATCCAGAGACCTAATCCAGCAGTCTCCTTTATTAGGCTATTATTCCAGCCTCTATTCCCCTAGCCCTTAGCACACACAGCCAGCTACCAGACAACTAGCTCCCTCTGTATCTATTCAAACTAGCCAATCCTAAACCTGCTTACCCTGCTGTGCAAGTTCCTTCCTGTGGAAACCACAATCAAAGCCCTGGCCCCTGTTTTCCTGTCAGTCCCTCTGACCTATCCTGGTGCTTCCCCTGCATGGCCTGCTACAAATCCTGTGTCTAGGGATTTGTGAGTGTAACAAACTTCTTCCTTTATAACAGTCATTTCCATATCTGGATGTCTCATGATATCTGATTAGAACAAATTGTGGGCACTGTTAAAGCAGTGCTTACTCTGTGCTTTACATGGATTGTGACACTTAATTTTGACAAGGATAACATGAGATAGGTACTATCATTTCCCTAGTTTTAAGGCCAAAGAGGTTGAGCCTCACTGAGGTGCAATGTCTTACTCAGAACCCACATCTAATATAAGCCCACACACAATATGAATTTTCAAGGTTTCTTTCCAGAAAACTCATACTGTTGTCCCTTTTATTTTCCTGCTTCCCTGTATGTCAAAAGAATTCCTTCTTGGCTATTCTCATAGAAAGCAACCATTGAATCAGCATTTTAGAAAAGCACAATATGCATCATGAAGTAGTAAGATGAATCCGTTCTGAAATTAGTGTGTTCTTTTAGATTCGTCCCTTTAGCTGACCCAAGTTGCTGCTGTCCAGGCATTTTTACAAGATCCTCTTTTACAGCTGCAGCTGGCCAGAGTTTAGGTGTCACCTAAGAAAAATCAGTCTATGATTTCATCATTTCTCCTCATTCTGACTGGAAGTAGTACGCCCCTTTTGCTTCACCTTACTTATATCTCAATCACTTTGGCTCATTTACAAAGCAAACAACCACAAAACTTAGGGCAAGGGCACAGAGTTGCTATCATTAATGATGCCTGAGTAATTATGCCATAAAATTGGAAGGCCCATCCACAGGGCATTCACATTCCCTTTGAGGAGTGGCCCTGTGGCTGGAACTCATGTCTGGCTTCCAAGCTGTCTACTTGGAAGATGGCTCCACTTACTTAGATGTCTCAGTTTGGAAGGGTTTGAGAAATCAAGCAGACATACTTAACTCTGCATCATTTATTCCTCAATTGAGCCCACTGAGCAAATGCTTGCTAAGAAGTTCTTTGAGCAGCATGGTTAAGAACCAGAGAAGAGATCTTTCTTTTGGACTCCATCAACAGAGTCAAGACCACAAGGAGAACTATCCAGTACCAGATGGGAGGGGTCAAGTAGGGTTATATAGTGAGAGCTGTGAAGGGAGAGACTGGGTAAGCTACCCTGACTCAGCCAAATCTTGAATTTTGCATTTTTTGGGGGGGGAAAAATGGCCTTTTAAAATTTCTTCTCTTTTAGCATTCCTTGTGGGGGGTTCCCTTAAAGGTTTGGGAAGTTGAGCTGATAAAATATTAAAAGCTAAAGAACACACAAGAGAAAGAAGGATTAAAAGACAGAAAAGTGTAAAGTATAGTAGATACCTTCCTACCTAAACATAGAAGCAATATATGGTCCTAAGTGTAGACACAGGATCTTGTCTGATTGGGGAGCAATCCAGGAGAAGGTCCCTCTGAGAAATGAGTGACCCAAGATATAAGTTCAGGGTTGGACAGTCTGAGAGGAGGGAGAGCAAAGCCAGCATGTGGAGTTTTGAGAGAACTGTGGAGCTGTGTACCAC